CGGGCTTGGCCGGGGGAGGGCGTGGAGGCTGGGGACGGCCCGGAGGGGCGCGTCCCCGTCCCGCGACGCCCCGCCGGAAAGGAGGCCTGCGCGACGGTTGCGGCGTCTCGGATCCAGGCCCCCCCACTCCTCAGAGTCACAGGCGGGCGCCAGGTGGAGGCGGTCGTGTCCGTGGGCCGGGCGTGGCAGCGGTTGGAGTGGGTGTGAGAGCCGGGGGCGGGGCTGGAGACGAGGGTCTCAGGTGGAGGGCTGGGGGACTTGCGTGCTCTGGGATGGCCGGACTCCAGCCAGAGGGAAACGGGGCAGCTGGGAGGACATTTCCGAGCCAACGTTCCCGTTGTCCTCCAGACTTGGGCAGGCAAAGGACAGGGTAGACTCGACACGGTATCCAGCCCCTGCCCTGTCCCCGAATTCTTATAAATGCCAGACTAGGAATGTGCTTACTGTCATGACCTTGATCCAGCCTGAGATTCCCTTTCATTTTTTTTTTTTTTTTTTTGAGTTGGAATCTCACAACCACTGTAGCCTCGACCTGCTGCGCTCTGGAGATCCTTCTGCCTCAACCCTCCAAGTAATTGGAACCACAGGTGCATACCACCACACCCAGCTAAGCCCAGCTAATTTCTTGACTTATTGTAGAGAGGAGGCTGGTCTCGAACCCCTGGGCTCAGACAATCCTCTAGCATGGACCTCCCAAAGTGTTGGGACGATAGGTGTGAGCCACTGCACCTGGCTGAGTTTCCCTTTTCTCATTTGTAAATTGTTACAGGAATACCTCTCTGATCCATCCATGGTGACAATCACATTAGGTAATGTATGCAAAGCATTTAGCAGATGCAGTCAGCCCTCGCTATTCGTGGGCTTCCTGTGGGTGGATTCCACCAACCTCAGGTCAGAAACATTCAGAAAAAGAAAAATTTGTCTATATTGAACATGCACAGACTTGTTGGTGTTCCCTAAACAGCATAGTGAGTGTTTACATGGCATTCACACAGTAATGGGCATCGTCTGCCATCTAGAGATGGTGTGTCATGCAGGGAAGACGCGTGTGGTTTGTACACAAGCCGCACACCATCTACCATGGGCTTGAGCATCTACAAACTTGGGTATCCTCAGGATCCTGGAACTGGGCCCCACGGACCATTAGGGACAACTGCACTCAGGCTATTTCATGAGCTGATATTAAAAAAAAAAAAAGTTATGGTATTTGAAATGAAAACATTATTCAGCTGGGCGTGATGGCTCACACCTGTCATCGAGCATTTTGGGAAGCGGAGGTGAGAGGATTGCCTGAGCTCAGGGATTCAAGACCAGCCTGGGCAACTTGGCGAGACCCCATCTCTACAGTAAATCAAAAAATTAGCTGGGTGTGGTGACTCATGCCTGTAGTTCCAGCTACTTGGAAGGCTGAGGCAGAAGGATCACCTGAGCCCAGCAGGTCGAGGCTGCAGTGGCCATGAGCATGCTACTGCTCTCTGGCCTGGACTACAGAGTGAGACTGACTCAAAAAAAAAAAGAGAGAAAACATTCACTATTTAAGTTTGTGAATCTAAACATATTCACTATTTTAGTAATGTCTTCTATTGGGTTTTAGGGTTTTTTGGTGAAATGTTTGAATCATGGAAAAAACAACAGTTGTGCCTGTACCCTGAACAAAGCAAATGTTAGCATTTCCTTATGCTTTTGGACTTTTTTCCTAAGGTAGTGTGACATTTCAGCTACAGTTGAAATTCTGTGTGCATACCCACGTTCTGTGAACGTGAATGTGTCTTTCTGTTGTGGCATTGTGGCTCCATAGGACTTGCCTGGTAGCCTTAGCGCCCACAGAGCTAGGTGTCCTCCCTCCTAACTTCCTGTCATCCCAAGTCTTGCCTCTGACAGCTTATCATGGAGATGATGGTGGCATTGAGGTGCTGTCCCAGGGCATTTGCTGCCTTACCCTCTTAAGGAACCAGCCCTGGTGGGCTCGGTGGTTCAGCCTGTAATCCCAGCACTTTGGGAGGCCAAGGTGAGTGGACTGCCTGAGCCCGCGGGTTCGAGACCCATCTGGGCAACTTGGCGAGACCACGTCTCTACAATAAATCAAAAACTAGCCAGGCGTGGTAGCGCGTGCCTGTAATTCTGGCTACTTGGAAGACTGAGGCAGAAGGATCGCTGAGCCCAGCAGGTTGAGGCTGCGGTGGCCGGGAACGTGCCACTGCACTCCAGTCTGGGCAACGGAGTGAGACTCCAACTCAAAAAAGAAAAAAAGGAACCAGCCCTGTTTGCCCTCCCACCCCCTGGTTGGGCTTTGTTGGGCCAATGATCACTTTTCTCTTCGTGGTCACTGTTTATCCAGAGGCGGTCACACCTGTTCCAACCTTCCAGGAAAAAGCAGCCTTCCATAGGCAAATGTGCTTCTACTTTATGCGGTGGAATTTTAAAGATCCACAGTGCAATTGCCCTCTTTAGCCTTGGGGGACTGGTTCCAGCATGTCCTTGAACCAAACCCACTGATGCTGCAGTCCCTTCTGTGAAATGGACAGTCCAGTCGGCCCTCTCTCTGTAGGCAGGTGGATGCCACGGATAGGGAATGTCAACTGTAGTATGAGCATGTAGATGTCAGGCTTTTTAACTGAATGCTTGACGTCCACTGTCTATTTGTCATGCTACAACTGTGCCCCAGTGGTGATGTTCCCATTTTGTAGTGTGCAAACTGAGGCTTAGGAAGATGAGGTATTAGCTACAGCTTGACCTGCAGTCACTTCTCTGTAGTTTATAATTGTTTTTGCCAACAGTAGATGTGGAGGGTCATTTGTTGTCTGGGCAGAATGAGCTTTGGCATTCACACGGGCTCTCTCTGACCTTTCTGCCCTCTAGCCCCAGCTCTGGAGGCAGGAAGACACCCTGGTGGAGGCCTTCCGCAGGACTGGAGATGGCGTCTGTGGACTTCAAGACCTATGTGGACCAGGCCTGCAGGGCTGCCGAGGAGTTTGTCAACGTCTACTACACCACCATGGACAAGCGGCGGCGCCTGCTGTCCCGCCTTTACATGGGCACAGCCACCCTGGTGTGGAACGGCAATGCCGTCTCGGGACAGGAATCCTTGAGTGAGTTTTTTGAAATGCTGCCTTCCAGTGAGTTCCAGATCAATGTGGTGGACTGCCAGCCCGTCCATGACGAAGCCACGCCGAGCCAGACCACAGTCCTCGTCGTGATCTGTGGGACAGTAAAGTTCGAGGGCAATAAGCAACGGGACTTCAACCAGAACTTCCTCCTGACCGCACAGGCCGCCCCCAGCAACACCGTGTGGAAGATTGCCAGCGACTGCTTCCGCTTCCAGGACTGGACCAGCTAGCGGATGGTGGCAGGCGCAGCTCTTGGTGTGGGTGTCGCCACCCCTTCCTGCAGAGACTGGCAGTTGTGCCGAGCTGTGGCTGAGCTGTGGTGGCTCAGGCTTCAGGCGCCCCTTTCCCAAGCACACATTTGTTTGTCCTAGTTTTCTTTTTAAAGTAGCACACTTTTCTATTTTTCTAATTGTCTAGTAGAGACTCTGGTTCTGGAAGTTCTGACAGCTACTGTAATACAGACGTGGCTTCTTTGTCCTTGCCTGTTGTTTTCCACTGGGTTTGAAGGAGGAGGAAGAAGAGGAGGGAGGAGAGCACAGTAGGAAGCCCTTGCGGAGGTGCGAGGGCCAGGGCTGCACTCCCTTCCATGCCCGAGTGTGCACACAGAGGACGTGAAACTGAAGCTTACAGCCCTCCATACACTAGAGTCCTTTGGGACACTGGAGGTCACTGCCCCAACCACACCCCAGACTAACCACACCCCGGATCCCTTCGGCAGGGCTAGGCATTGGCAGTTTTCCTTTTTTAGAAAATTTATTGTAGAGATGAGGTCTCGCCATGTTGCCCAAGCTGGTCTCAAACCTGCAGACTCAGGCAATCCTCCCACCTCCATCTCCCAAAGGGCTGCAGCAGTTTCAAAAGCACCCTCCTTTTCCTGATGTGTGGCCCACTCTAGAGCATACGAGACTCACCTGCAGTTGCTGGATCCTGGCTCAGCGCTTTAGCTGAGAGTTCATTGACAAGAACAGAGGAAATACTAAGAGTTAGCTAATAACTGCTTATAATGAAACATTTTTTTTTCTTTTTTTGAGTTGCAGTCTCACTCCATTGCCCAGGCTGGAGTGCAGTGGCATACTCACGTCCACCCCAGCCGTCGACTTGCTCGGCTCCAGCACAGACTCCAACTCAAAAAAAAAAGTATAGATTGGTACAGCACTGTAAGTTGGGATATGGATTGGGAGCATTGTGGGAGGAAGAACCCTGATGTGCAAGGGGCATGGACCGATGTTTCCTCTTACTCCCCCTCCCCTCCCTGTTTCTGCACCTCACTGTAGCCCTACATTACCAGGAATTAGAGACCCACCAGAAAGGCTGACTTTCTGGTTCAGTTTACAGCAAGGCTGGGCTTATGGGAATACTGTTTCACCAGGCCCTCCCTCCTCCCGTTGCCCGCCTGCTGCCTGGTAATAGTTATGATGGTCTGGCCACTGGCCCTGGCTCAGTCTTGGCCATGAGGACAGCTCAGCTCTGCCCTGAGGCGGGATGGTGTTAGCAAGAAGAAGCCTGGGTCCGGGATGACCCTGGCACCACAGAAAAGCCCCAGGTCACCTCCCCTCCTTTCCCTTTAAGTGAAAAGTAAACCCCATCTCAGATCTGTGTCAGCTTGGGGATGTGTCCTGTTCTGCAGCAACAATCCTAGGTGAGGAGAGGGGCATGATGGGGCTGATAGTATAGCAGCAGCTTTGCCATGGCACCAGGAGCTCAGGTGTGCCTTGTGCCCAAGGGTTGTCTGATCTAATCGTGAGGCAGTGCCTTTCAAGGTCACATCAATCATGAGGCATACAGACTTGAGAGTGAGCTGAGAGACTAGGATACGTCCAAAGTGAGGTTCCAAGCCAAGACGCAGAGTTGTCTGGGCCAGGAGCATTGTCCCAGCGACATGGGAGGAAAGCAGAGTGGGTGGCTTTGTGCAGAGGATTTGAATAAGCAGCTGCCCAGGGGCCTCATGCCCGCCTGGGGGGCAAGGTGGGACCCCTCCTCATCACTTCAAGCCTGCAAGGGGGGGGAGTGTAGCCCCTCAGAGACCCTGACATGAACTCCCTGAGTCTGAATCATGGTCCTGGGAAGCCCCAAGACCAAGGTTTCTTAGACTTACTCCACGTTGCTAGCATATGAGGGGGCCAGGCCACGCCAGAAGCATCATGGCATTCCTGGAATACTGGGTCCTAGGCGAGGTGGCTCACCAGGACCCCCATTTGTCCGTCAGAATCTAAGCCCTGTCTTTCACCTCCTCCCCTCCCCAGACCCAGCAGCTGCCCCTTCCACCCCTACCAACCAGAGTGGCTTTGGTCAAACCCAAACCAAAGACGACAGTGCTGTATCCCCACCTGGCCACTGGGTTACCCTGGGCAGCTCAAGAGCTAGAGAAGTGAGACAAACGGAGATGATGTCTCCTTTTCTAGGGGAAAGCCTTTTGGGGGGGGGGGTGTTTTGGAACAGAAAAAAATCTTGCACTGGCCTCACACGAGTCTTCACTGTGCTTTCCAGCTAAAGCCCAAGTCTCCCCATGTCATCTACATCTCGCTCCCCACTGTAGAGTCTTAGCCACATTCATAAATCCCGATGCTGCTGCCATCTGTATTTCACTTTAGCAAAGACATAACTTTTTAAAACTGCCAGGTAGCCCGTGGGGAAACATGCTGAAAATGCGGTTCTTCCTAATGGGAAGATCGACACTCTGCCAGCTGTCCATCTCTGCCACGGTGGAGGCAGGTTATGGAGGCTCCCCGACCCTCCGGGACCCTCTCCGCCTTCTCTTGTCCCTTTAACCCCACTCTTGTCAGGCGGCGTTTCTGGCCCTAGGAGGGCAGGACGCTCTTCAGGGTCTGTCCTGCAGGCTGGCCTTTGGGGACAAAGCTTTGGTCGTGAGTGGCTGCCTTGACCCTGGCCTGCGCTTGGAGGCAGAACTTCTGCGGGAATCCAGCCACTGGACAAAACCTGGGGGTGGCGGTCCGGCGTGGGGGTCTGTCCTTCCGCCCCCGCCCTTTCCCCCCAGGGTCCCTGTGGGAGGATATCAGGCAGAGCGAGTCCTTCGACCTCTGCGGTGCCAGGGCGCCCTGGGAGGCATCCCTGGGTCGGCCGGGCATGCGGCGCCCACAGAGGCCCCGGGCGCCGGGAGGCTGCAACCCGCGCGTCCAACCCCAGGGCTGGATTTCCAGGCCCACGCCTCCCCATCGGCGCCTGCTCCCTGAGCAAAACACCGACGAGGCCTTGCCCTGTGGGGCCACGGTCCCGCCCACAGCATGACGAAGAGGACAACCGGTAAAGAAGGGATGCCTGCCCAGGACGCGGTGAACGGAGCCAGGGACGGGCCGAGGCCACGGTGAGGAGGTGAATTTCCAGCAGAACCTCAAGGGGACGCGGCGCGGCCTGCGGACCCAGGAAGAGCCAGGCAGAGGGGGCGGCCGGGGCAACGGCCGATGCAAGAAGAGAAGTCGGTGCCGAGGCGGAGGAGGGCGGACTGGACTCGGGCCCAGAATACCCGGGACAGCCCGGCCGGGCCAGACCCCCGGAGTGGGTGGGAAGGGCAGTGTGGGCGGGAGGAGGAGGTGCTGTGTTCACACCCTATGCCTAGCTGGGGGCGTCACGGCGTTTGGGGAAGGGGAAACTCCGCCCTAGCCACGCCCCCCGGCACCCGGGAAGGCGGGACGGTCGTGTGTCCAACCCTAGCCACGCCCTCGACTCCCGAAGGTGGCTCTGGCGTGTGTCCAGCCCTAGCCACGCCCCCGCCACGCGGGAAGGCGGGACAGACAGGTGTGCGGTTCCAAGTGTGGACTTCGGTTCCAGGACACATCCAGACCACAGTGCAGACCGAGTGGTGGTGGAGCAGGTGCCGGCCGATGGCATGTTTCTGCGGACTGGGTGTCCTACCGGAGGACCGCCCATCACCACCTCCCATCTGTCCCCGGGCTGTCCTCAGGGCCACACCCCGTCCAGAAGCAGATTCCTACACCCATTGTCTTCAACCCAGCAACAGAAGTTTGAAATAAATGTCACCAGTAACTTTATATTTGCAGCCTGTCAAAACAGATGAAAGAGAACAAAATGTATAAATCTGGTTTAGAAAATTAATTATAGGTCAGGCACAGTGACTCAGGCCTATAATCCCAGCACTTTGGGAGGCCGAGGTGAGAAGATTGCCTGAGCCCATGGGTTCAAGACCAGCCTGGAAAACTTGGCGACACCTCATCTCTATAATAAATCAAAAAATTAGCCGGGTGTGGTGGCACATGCCTGTAGTCCCAGCTACTTGGAAGGCAGAGGTGGAAGGATCACCAGAGCCCAGCAGGTCAAGGCTGCGGTGGCCATGAGCATGCCACTGCACTCCAGCCTGGACAATAGAGTGAGACTCTGACTCAAAAAAAAAAGAAAGAAAATGAATTATAAGGAAATCGAGGTGAAGAGTTTACTGTTTCTTCTTATTTTTTGCAGCATTTTGTAAATTTTAAGTTATTCTAAATCAACAGTTTAAAAATGACTTGTGCTGAGGAGTGATCACACACAATACCCGGTGTGTTCTTTCCACGCTGGCCCAAGTCCACACGCCTGTGGTGTGTACAGAGAGGAGGCATTCTGCTTTCTGTTTCACCCTCCGTTCACTTCAACTTCCAACTGTCAGTGAGGTCTATTGGTTGCTTTGGTTTGGGTTTAGTTTGGGTTTGATGAAGACCACTCTGACAGGGCATGGGGGGGCGGTGCGGGGGCAGGTGAAGGGGAGCATGTCTTGGAGGATTCTGGCAGAAAAGAAGAAATGGAGGGGAGGGGAGGTGGACACTGAGCAAGGCAGAGTAACTCTAATTCAGATACTCCCAGAACACCAGATCAAGAAGTTTCTGAACACAGTCTGTTGCTGCTTGTCTGGACACTGTGAGTGAACACAAGAGCCTTGCGACAATGGCGTTGCTGCTGGCCCCGTCTTGGCTTTCTAGTCTCCAGAATGGGGCTGAGAGCAGCAGCCTCCTCCAGGGGCTCTCGGGGTTCACGGAGCCAGGCATACGTGCATAGCCCTGCCTGCCCCACCAGTTGACCCCACTCGACGGTAAGGCTGGTGTTGTTAGAGCAGGCCCTCTGAGCTGTGTGACTGGCGTGGAAGGGCCTAGCACCCTGTTAGACTCTCACCCTGAACCCTCCATTTCATCTAAGTTGTGAAACTCACTTGGGCTGTTCACTGCGGCCCCACATGAACGTTGCAGTGCTGGTAGCGTCAGTGGTGGTGCTTGCTGCCCCCTTGCTATTCACGGTAGTTCGCCTTCTTTCATTTGTTCTCAGCCTAGCTGGGGATCATCAGTCTTAGTGACTTTTCAAAGAACCAGCTTCCGCTTCATTGATTTTTTTCTACTGCTTTCCTGTTTTCCATTTTGTTAGTTTCCACTGTTTTCTCCCTCCTGCTTATATTGTTCTTTAAAAGTTCCTAAATTAGAAGCTTGGGTTACTGATTTGAACTTTTTCTTTTTTAATATAAGCGTTTAATGCTGAACATTC